TGATGATGATGCTGATGATGATGCTGATGATGAGGATGATGATGAGGATGATGACGGCGATGATGATGATGATGATGGATGATGATGATGATGGATGATGATGATGATAATGATGATGATGAATGGATGACGATGATGGTGATGAAGCTGATCATGATGATGATGATGATGCTGGCGACGATGATGATGATCGTGCCGATGATGACGATGATGATGATGGTGATAATGATGCCGATGATGATGATGGATGATGAGGATTATGATGATGCACGATGATAATGATGATGGTGATGATGACGATGTTGATGATAATCATGCTGATGATGATGATGATGCTGCTGATGATGATGCTGAGGATGATGACGATAACGATGATGATGGTGATGATCACGAGATGCTGGTGAGAATGATGATGATGATGATGGTGATGATGACGATGTTGATGATGATACTCATGCTGATAATGATGATGATGATGATGATGATGATATTGATGATGACGATGATGATGATCATAATGATGATGATGATGATGATGATGATGATGATGATGATGTTCATGATGAATGATGAGGACGATGATGATGATGATGATGATGATGATGCTGACCATGATGAGGATGATGATGAGGGGGATGATGCTGATCATGATGATGATGATAATGGATGATGATGGTGATGATCACGATGATGCTGATGAGAATGATGATGATGATGATGATGGTGATGGGTGATGGGTGATGATGATGATGATGATGATGATGATGATGGTCATGATGATGATGATGATGATGGGGATGATGCCGATGATGATGATGATGGATGATGATGATGGATGATGATGATGATGATGATGGTGATGATGATGATGATGTTGATGCCGATGAATGATGATGCTGATGGTGATGATGCATGGTGAGGATGATGCTGATGAGGATGATGATGACACTGATGATGATGATGATGATGATGATGATTCTTTCGTTGCCTATCTTATCTGGACACTTGTTTTGATGTTGGGCGGGTACTCTTTTCTTTGATCCAAGATTTCGAGGAGATCCAGTCCATCTTTTATTACACCTTAGAGTTACTTCTGTCTTCTTCTTTCTTCTCTTTTTGCGAATCTGGCCAATTAATAATAATAATAATCATCATCATCATCATAATGTTTACCTCGTACCTCGAAGTCTTAAAACAACATTTAACACAACATCAACAATAAAAGCACATTGGGGGTCGGCGGCATCAGGCGTCAGCCTGCTTAATAATAGTTACAACAGTGGTTCTGACAAATGCAGCGCAAGCGAAGTGTTTTCCGCTCTCAATTGCCGATCACGTATGAACGCAGCTACACATAAGATCTTGAACCTCAATTGTGTCTTGAGCCAAATGGCAATCAATGGAACCTGGTAAGCAACACAAACACGGACCTCAGAACTGCTTCCCAATTTAGGCACGGGGCCAGGAGGGTTTTAACACAAAACGTCCCAGCCTTCTGCTGCTCTGGCCACATGCAGCTGCCTGCACGAACGACGCTTCTCTAGATCGAGCACAACAATGTAACAAGGGAAAGCCATGTTCCTGAATTGTGGCGTTCCCTTTTCCAACCATACAATTCAATGCGCATTCACCAAAACAAAGTTCCAACCTCTTCTATTTTACTTCCCAAACAGTTCTGAGAGTTCGATGAACGAACAGATGCATGCAGGAATGGCAAGTAGCAAAACGAGGGGCGCGCGTTAGATGCCCAATGGAGTGGTGTAAGGATGCGTGCCGGGGAAGACAAGGCTCTGCCTGAGGTAGGACTTTGGCCGAATTATAGCCAGCCAAATTACAGCATTCGGCCCCAAACAGCAGTTGCGCACACCAGCTCTTTACACTTGGACCACAAATTGCCAACAAGCGCAGGCTATGTCTTGGCAGTCAAATCAAGCTGCCAGGTCAAGGACAACGCATTGCCTCGCATGAATGGGCTTGCAAAGAGTGTGGAACAACCAATTGGGAAACCAACTGTTGTTGTCGCAGCTAAGGTTTGCAAACTCTTGCGAACCCAACCAAGGTTTGCGAATCTTTGGCACAGACCCATCAGCAATTGCCGACACAAAGAAGAGCCGATTGTTCTACGAACCTACTACGCGACGCTCGCACGCATTTCTATCAAGCCACGTAGGTGTTGCCCTGTTGATGGTTCCCAAGCTGATTGCCCCACAAGCGTTTTAAACGGGTTTGTTCAAAAAGAACAATATATCTACCTTTCAAGCAATGCTATCCTGGGACAAAAGGAGCACCTGGCTCTTGCGATGCTACTCAAGGGAAAACTGGCATCCAAGCAAGCTTGCCCATGAAGCAGCAAATTGAAGCGCGAAAAACCGCGCCTTGCTGGCATGCTGCTTGGCAGGAAGCTCATTCTGGCCTCCGAGTCTCTCACACCACACTCCTTTGATCTGTGCTAAAGCGACGACAAACTCCGAAGAAAGGTTGTCCATGGGTGTCCAACTACATGCCTCCAGCAAAAGCCAGTACATGTATACCGCTCATGTGGGGTCCTCAGAATCGATTCCATAACCATTTAGAACGTGATAAGTCCCTTGGGCCCTTGGAGTTTAGAAGACCACTCGAGGCTACATGTCAAATATTGCTTAGCTGCTAGCCAATCGATTGAACGCCAATTCCAAGCCTCACATCCTGAGATAGCGATGGCATTTCTATCGGTCCGACATTCCAGGATCCTGACAGGCAACAGCAGCAAGACCTGAGCACCAGGATGGTGTGCCACACGGGCTGCATATTCTCTAAAAGTCCCTCGGGAATAATAATTGCACCTGAGTATGCCTTACAAGGTTTAAGATCACACATCCATTTCGCACGAGACCCACGGTCAAAATATGCGGTTTCCCCAAAGGATTTGGACAAACAACTAGAGAGTCGTCTGGTGTCCCTCCCACGTTGGCATAGACTACTGATGTGTTGACCGAACCTCACATGACATAGAAGCTTCCAACAGAAAGAAGTCCAATCCTCACAATCCACATGTCCAGTGGACAACGAGCTTGAAGCGGTCAGGGGAAACACCAGATTGTTGACTCGCCACAGAAAGGTCACATAAAACCTTGGATTGGAGGATCTACAGGCATCTGCCCAAAACTGACAAGCCTGTTCAGCCATATCAGCTTGGTTGGCATGAGCGGATACATATATATATATATATAATTATATGTATCACAAGCCTCTTGCGCATTCAGGCACTCAAGTTAGCTGGTGCCATTCTATTCTTAGGATTTGCCCACATTTCATCACAGTTTGAGGCAGGCACTGCCAGCAAGAAGCGCCCACCTGCCGACGTGGCCATACGCACGTATGCCATGGTCAAACTTGCTATGTCTCGGACATGGGAGAATTGGAGACTCCCCTGGTTTTTGAGGGAAGTTTGGGGAGTCCCATGCGCCTCCCCAAATACAACTGCTGTATTTCTGACCGAACCCCAGCGAGGAGTGGTGGTGCCATAAACGCATCAATGCCGGACTTTGGTGTTAGGCTAAAATCAAGGGCGGCCAGCGAAGTCAGTTTGAATATGATAACTGTATGAGCGGCATTCTTGGAGGTTTGATGCCAGCAAAGCCCCTCAGCAATGCTGCACTGGTGGTGATGCCAGCATAACAATGTTCCAGTCGTTGGGGACTCAAGTGCTGACCAACAATACCAATTATTGGGCAACATGCTACATCAGCATTGCGTTTTATGTACACTTGCCCAGTCCCCATCCTCTCAAGCAGTCATATACTGCACCAAATATCCTTCCCGCTTCGCAGAGACCCACTGCCGCCACTATTAAATTTACTGTCAACGACGTGAGGCAACCTCAAGAAAGCAAGTCACATCGGAAAGTGTGGTGAAACCTGTGTTGAAAGCCAGTCACACGGAATTAACTAGCTGCAATCTCAAACACAGACTGAACACCCAAGGACAGACCAAACACACACCAAAAACACATGGCAGCAACAGGATCACACCAAAAGCCCCTTACAACCTATAGGCCCGACATGTTCAAAGCATCAGACATGCCCTGCGCCTTGCCTGAGCATCGCTTTCGCAGCGCCATGGTGGTAAAACCCACAAGCGGGCGCAGGCAAGCGGCACTTTCTCTGCAAAACAGGTTTTGTTGTAATGAAACCAATCCAAAACAAACGGCTGTCCTAGATGCTCTGTAAGCAGCTGCTAATTAACGATGATTCGTCAGGGCCTAACCTTTTTGTCGTACGGCTTTCAAGGTCTAGCACTTTTGTGGGAACTGCTGCTGCTCTGCCACGTTCTTGCTTCTTGCTTGCTTGGATTTCACACGTCTGATTCACAAACCGCACCGCACAAATGCACGTGCTGGATTCACCTCAGTCTCCTTCGCGCTTGTCTCGTTGCTAAGCCAAGGTGGTTGCAGGCCTGATTGCGGGGAGAAACTGCCAACGCGAGACTCGCGAGGAACTGCAACTTCGCTGGTGTCAAGTCCAAAAAACCGTACTTGGTGTCTATTTTATGTAGATCAACCACATGAGCTCTGTGACGCACGACAATATCTGACTTTGGCCAGCTGAAGCTTGCACTTTTCCCCGCCCAACTTCATTATTGTTCAGTATGACGCTGAACAGCCAATCGTTTTGGCTTGACGTTCGATGTGACTCATTGTTCCAGCGGCTTCAAACGGTTTCTCATTCCTTTTCGACCAGAACACATAACAAGACACATCATACAATCTTGCACCTCTGGAAGTACAACTGTGTGTCTGTGTCGTGTGCGTAGGTGCTTCTTTGTTTGTGTGGAGGCAAACGCATCGACCAAGCGGACAATTGCGGGCCAATAGAGGTTGTTCTCTCACCGTCTTTCCACAGATTGCTTTGTAAGGAACATAGACTGACATCATTGGTAGCAACAACTGTAAGACACAATCCTTTCTGAAACGTGCCTCGCACGTGCGCATTAAATGTCTATACCCAGCTCCTGCGACCCGCCTCCTGTGGAGTTCCCACTTCTTCAAGGCCTTTTCGCTCCGTCTTGGTGATCTGACAGGGCCGGCAAAGGGCGTCGTCGGCTCATGCGGAGTTGGGCAATGCTTTCGTTGCCGGAGAGGGCATCTAGAGGGCGTGCGGTCCAGCCGAAAAGGCAACAACACTCTTGGGTGTGCCGATTCATTGTTTGTGCTCCAATATCCGAAAAAAAAGCTTCAGTCCCACTTTGGTCAGTATGTTCTGAAGTATGTGACAGCCTCTTCCTTCCAGGATACTCAATGCATCAATCCGAACTTGTAAACAAAACCAGCCATACTTGCCCTGGCACATCTCGGCTTTGTCGACCGTTTCTTCCGCAATGTCTGCAGTCCTATAGCCCCAACTCCTCCAGTTCATGTATGGTCGCTAGATTCATCTCTCATGCAATTGGGACAAGTTCGTTGTTGCAGGGGTCACTGGATTTCCCCTTGACCAGTTGTAATTTACTTGTTGTCCGTTCAATCTGCCACTTTTGGAGGTTCCCAAAAGACAAATGGCTCGGGAACCCTGTTTGTTCCAACTCCCGACCTTGAAACCAGCGAGGCCCCCGGCCTTGAGCCCGATGTACTCCAATGGCTCGATGATGTCCCGGAGGAAAAGGTCGAAGCCCTTGTTGGTGGACCTAAGACCCACAGCTCGGGCTCGGTCCCCCGAGAACAAAAAACAAAAAACCTACATATATTTAGCCGACTAGTAGCTGGTCCAAAAAGGCTTCACATGCTTGAGTCTGTGTCATGGATCATGTCATGTGATATATGTTAGCAGCTTCTGACTAATCATCTTGTGCTATGTGTTGGCTTTGGCGAGAAGCGAGAAGCTATATGATTGTAAGCAGCAACTGGCCTGGGAGATGCCTCGAGAAACAGTTTGATGCTTATCGTAAGGGTCTTCTGCAAAGGGCTCATTCTTTCTGGGTACATCACGGCTTCCAACATCTTGCTTGGACTGAGGAAAAGGCTTCTGAGTTATGCCAAACACTGGCAGGACACATGGTGAATTCCCAATGGCTGAATAATAAACCCCTACCTTCTGCGGCTTCCACGCAGGCGTGGTGGTTGAAAGTGCTGATTCGCCCTACCTGACGGCAACGACTTTCCTCCTGAATTGGAACATGGCCTCTTTTCACGGGCGTATCTGTCTGGGACACCTGCTTGCTCGGCTTCGGTACTCAAGCTTCGCTGGATAAATAGCTGGAAGCCTTTCTCTTTCCTTTTGCAAGAAGGAAGCACGGTCTTCAAACCATAATCTGCTCTTCTGCCACCGCAGCGAAAGCTTGAGCGCCTTGCTTCTGAGGGCCGGTGGGGAACTTGAACTCGTAGCCCACATTTGCGTCCGAGTACCTGGATCCGACACACCTTGATGAATGCGTCGAGTCTGTAAAGGTGGGCGATTTTCGACTGGGACGGGGGGGGAACCGCTCGTACACGTGAGTCATGTACAGGCGGTCCGAAGCTCACCCGTCAGCTTCCAGCAACATAATCAAGCCGTGACACGTTAGTGAAAGCTAAACCACGCACCCGGACACACGCGCACACTCAATACTCAAGCTCACATGATACACCTGCCCATGGAAGTGCATATTCGGACTCAAGCCAGCGGAAGAAAACAGCAAGGATAGGACTGGGCACCAGAAATAGAGCTTCCTGCCTGTCAACTACCAACTGCTTTGACCAGCTTTAACACCGCTTGCTTAGACGCCCTCCTTTTGGTTCTCAAGCAAAGGTGCCCAGGCTATGTTTCGTTGAACCAAATGTTGCCCAATCCTGCAAAACACGAAGAGCAGCGGTGTACATGTGGACGGGAGGAAAGAACAAGGCTGATCAGTGTTTAGGCTCCGAAGCCTGGGACGCCTGGGACTTCGAGCAGGTTCCTCATTGAGGACTCAGCCGTTTTGATGAATGCTCAGCCTGAACACAAACCCAGCTGGGCCCGTTTAAATCTTACCACCCAGACCCCGTCACTGTAAGTCATGCTAGCGAGTACGGATCCACTTGTCCATCAGAGGTCTAGCATGATCCTGCAAAGCCGATAGCACCTAACTCGATACTCTGGTAATATGGGGGTTGACCAATATTCCATTCGTCACCAAAATGACAATGGGTAACTACCATGTGGTGAAAGTCATCTTATCGGTGGTCTCACTAATGGTCACCCCATGCAAAGGACCTTTTGATCAACCCCCATATCTTCCATTGCTCTCTGATTGAGTGTAAGCCCGTTTCACACCTAGGCGACTTGTTTGTCCAACCGAAATTCTGACGAGATGCGTCTCGTATGCCAGCGCTGGCGACGCCAGAAGTGCTGGGCTCAGGCTGAGTCCTGGAGACACCAGGCAAACAAACAAAACCAGGCAAACAAACAAAACCAGCCACCAACCCAACCCAGCCACAAGCGAACGAACGAGCGAAAGAACGAACCAGCAAGCAAGCAAGCAAGCAAGCAAGCAAGCAAGCAAGCAAGCAAGCAAGCAAGCAAGCAAGCAAGCAAGCAAGCAAGCAAGCTTGCAAGCTTGCAAGCAAGCAAGCAAGCTAGCAAGCTAGCAAGCTAGCAAGCTAACTAACAACGCAACAACAAAACAACAAACAAACAAAACAAAACCAAACAAGACACACAAAGACACGCACACACACAAACGCAACCAAACATACAAACAAACAAACAAACAAACAAACAAACAAACAAACAAACAAACAAACAAACAAACAAACAAACAATACAATACAAACAAACAAACAAACAAACAAACAAACAAACAAACAAACAAACAAACAAACAAACAAACAAACAAACAAACACACAAGCAATCAAACAAACAATGAAAAAACACGCGTCGCCCGCCCGCACGCAACACATGCACCACATGCACCACGTGCACCACATGCACCACATGCACCACATGCACCACATGCACCGCGCGCACTCGCGGCCGCACGCGCGCTTGCTGTGCCTGCCGGCCCCCACGCAAGCACACACGTACACAGGCGAGCACACACACACACACACACACCCTCGCACACGACATTCTGGTAGCACTATCATGCAGTCTGGTTCTGTTTTGTCCGAGGTACTTTGGTGAGAGCAGGACTACTTTTCCGGACTGTTGGATACTCATCGAATGTGTCTCTCTGAGAAAAAAGCCCCCCCCCGGCCACCGTAGCCATCTGCGGTCAGTTGTTGATAGGGAACCGTCCTAAAAGTGATGATTTCAGGCACGAGCATCTAGGAGTTTGACGGATTCAGTAGCTCAATCCTTGGACCCTTGGAAGCTCAAAGTGAGGCCCGGCCAGTTCAGGTTAATACGAAGCACGTCCATTCAAGCGTGTAGCTTCCGGACTGACCCAAAGACAGAAGCCGCTCGCGAATGAGGAGTTTTATTCGGTCAATTGCTTTGACTGTCCCAGACCTCGTTTGTGCAAGGGCAGAAATATGTAGGAATCACACCATGACCTCATTTAATGCGCAAAAGGAATCAAACCATAGTCCTATGCTTTGGGCATTGATCCCGGCCTGTCAGCAGCTGTCGTCGTGGCACTGAAGGCTGCGGCCTCGCTTTTCACTGAAACAGCCGCCCGCCAGGGCACAGCCGCCCAAACGAGTGGTGCGACGGTGGGGGTAGCTTCCCCTGAAGATCACCCAAACCCCTGAAAATCGGTTATTGAACAGAACGATGGCTGAAAAGAATCGAAAAGGAATCAACCCCTAGGCTTCTTGCTGACTTCCGTTGCACGTTCCGGACATTGAAGCTTTCACCTTCGTCAGGATCTATTTTTTGCGGCACATGCGGCAACGAGGGCATTGCCGCAGTGAGCCATTGAAGGCTCCCGGATCTCGAGCCATCTTGCTGGTGCTCCGTAGGGAATGACCCAGGGTGTTGGAAATGAACCTAGGCATTCCCTTAAAGGAAACCATAGGGCTTGGTTTAAGGGGTCATTCCAACTCACAAGACATAGAAATGCCTCACGCTGATCTCACCTACAGTCACACAAACATCCCAAACATGGCAGGCAAAGACGAAGCGGCAAGCCCTGGATTCCCCTAAACTAAATGATATACCTCCAAATCGATTGGTTGCGAATTGGGTTTTGCTGGGGTCAATGTTGAGCTTTCATGTGCACCAGTATTGCTAAGGCTTCTTTTTGAGATGGGATTTGAAGGATGTGAGGGATTTGAGCTTCCATTTGCTTTCGTATTGCTAGAGTTGTGACTTGATTTAGAATTGCTTGATTGGATTTCTCATTTGACTTGATATTGCTGGATTGGTGTTTCCATTTCATATAGTATTGCTGGAATGGAATTTCAACGCAATTTAGTATTGCTGGATTTGCGTTTCCAGTTGATTTAGTATTGTTGGATTGGATTTTGCATTTGATTTAGCCACAAATCAGCATTTTGGGGGCGGCCACTCAAGTACTCCCCGTTTGTGGGATTGATTTGGGCTAGCTGTTTAAGATCAACTATGTGTTGTAATTACGTTCCCCAAAAATGTAATGGCTAGTGATGTGTGTTTATCAGGGAATTCCAATCGGAGGTTGCCATGTCTCCTCAAAAAGATCACACTAGACTAGATACTATCACGCTCCACTGTAAAATGGACTTGATGCGCTGGCAAGCCAAGCCATGGCGGGAGTGCTTTCTCATCTGTGAAACGGAAGTTCTCAATGCAACAAGTCTGCGCTGTGCCAATCTCAAAGGGGACGCGGCGTTGGCCCTTCACATGTTGCATCATAGACACTTGCAAATGTTCCCTGGAGTGCGCGGACATGAATCATTGCTGCTTCAGCTTCTGATCCCATCATCCTACTACCATAAACGTCATCCTCCAAGTGGCAGGCCTTTGATCAACTCCGACAATGCAAACAACGACAGGATCAAACTTGGATCTGCAGGGGACTCACTAAGTATTGTGCTGAAGGGATGGACGCATCGGACTGGACGCACTGAAAATGCGAATCTCATCCGCCTGGGAGACAGAAAGGCTGCCTGCCAGACAGCGAAGCCAAGTCCTCGCGGCCGTCTCTCGCAGAAAGCCAGCAAATCGCCAGACCATGCTACACAAATGCTAGGTCCTCCAATAGAGAAGGTTAGAATAAGTTGGTACCCTATTTTTTTCTGTAGTCTATAGGGGAACCCGCCCCCGAAACAGGGTATAAGGGCACTACTGGGGACCTAGAATGTATCCGCTTGTGGGTGGTAAATTGCATGATCACAAAGTGAGATGTTTCCGTCCCACATTTGATACATGTCAATCGACTCTGGTTGACAAAAAGGGGTCTTGTAACCACAACTGGGTGGCCCCCTTTTTGACCTTCTGAGAACTGTGGCTGCACTAATGCCAACAGGGCTCATTTCTGGCGGGGTGAGTTGCTTTTACCACAAAAAAGCTCCAGGAAGTTGCGAACACAACTGGAACATCTACTTTCACCAAATTATCTTCAAGCACAAAAGTAGTTCAGCAACAAAAATGAAAAGCACCTCACGACATACCTTGCGGAAGTTTCGGCTCAACAAAAACGTGTCTTCTGTTCCGTGCAGCAGGCATTGCAATCCTGCAAAGTGTAGTACTCCAAATGCACAAGTTGCCAGCAAGACTCTTAGACACCCGATGCGGAAGGGTCGGGAGCGAGGACGGTACACTTTCACAAATGGTTCCTTGGTCTAGCACAAACGATTGCTGGCCATCTGGCTTACTTCTTCGGCGTATGCGTGACTCAAACAATCCAGACTAGCAACTATTTGGGCACCAAGCATCCAGGCCAAGCCAGTTAACTGTTCCTATGCTTCCGTTTGCTTAAGCCCCCTGGACAAAGTGCGGAAACATGTCAGGTAGTGAAATCGATTGCCTTTGAGGCCGACAGGTCTAAAAATAAGATACCTGGAGTCTCCATGACCCTTGAAAAATGGGTCCATGCCCCCATTATTTGGGTCATGACCCCATTTTTTAAGGGTCATGGCGACTCCAGGTATATTCACTTCAGCCAGTGGTCCCGTGCCTCACTTGCCCCAGGTCTTTCGTTTTCTCTCGGCCTAGGGCCAGGAAGGCCGCGATGCGCCGGTCCCCGGTCCTGCTCCGCTCTCGCTGAGGCGGGGAGGGAAACATTTGGCCGCCCTCAGATCCCCCGCTAGAAGTGACTAACTTTCAGTCAGTGGGTTAAATGGAAGCTACACACATGATTCTCTCACTTCCTGAGTGGATCGGCCCTACCACTAAACACTAAAAAACTGGAAGGCTAAGGAACCGGATGGCTGGGAGCCACCAAGGAAACATTTGTTTGCTTTTGCCGAGAAAGCAGTTAGACGTGGAAGACGGGCGCGACTGAAGTGTGGTGTATACCTTGAAATCTCACCACACAGAAGGCTCAACAGGCACTCATCTGGCTGAGTTTACCTCATCCAACGCGAAGCTTCAGCAACCCTGCCGCATTATATCTTACATTCACACACAACTCCAAAAGGACACAATGCACTATAAACCTGCGGCGCGCCAAACAAAGGGCTACACCTCTATGGGCCGAGGGAAGCTCGCATGCTGCAATATGTTGCGGCTCAATTCATGAAGCTATTCCAGTTTTGAATTTCAAGAATTGGCATCACTGATCCTGAATTATTCACAGCCAGTGTGAACATACCACCTTGAACCACCGTTCCGCCTGCAACTCACATAGTTAGGAGTTTGCGTCCAAATGGGGGCCCGAAAACGGCCGCTGTCCTTTTGACTTGCATGGCAAACCAACCAAAAAACAGGCACCCTCGACAAAAAGGGCCACGTATTTCCCCTCCTTTCAAGCTGAAACACCGCCCAATAAAACCCCAAGATCCCGTCCTCTCGCTTCTGGGCATTGGCCTTCAGTGATTCAGGCAATCGGGATCTCTATATAAGGAGATCACTGGCAACCGCCATTGATGGGGGTTGATACCAAAAAAACAACGAACACTCTGAAATCGAGACGACATCAACATCAATGCGCCTTCGATCAATGTACATAGTTGTTGGAGGATCTCCAAGCTCTTCTGCATTATAGGCAATTGAATGCACATGGACTGGAAGAGCCTTGTGGCTCAAATGCTCTCTGTTTTGAGAGAGGCGATTGGCTTCCTGTCCCTTCTCCGAGTTTTCAAGAGGCGGGTTTCTTTCAAGAAACCCTAAAACATGACCTGGTTTGAGAAAGGGATGGACCAAATATGCAAGCGCTGCTACAATCCAACACGACACTTTAAGTTGTGAAGAGCTGCCTATGCGCGTCAAACACAGAGCCTCAATAAATGAGAATAATCCCTGCCCCCCAATGTGCTTCGCGGCTCAGCTAAAATGATTATTCCATGAGCCGTATGCACGGAGTCCGGATTTTCAATAGACCGCGCGAAGAAGTCCCGTGAGACTGAACCCAAAGACTTAGGACAGTTACCCCTTGGCCCACAACTCGACTTCTCTCGCCGCGCCTTCACAAGTCCCGTGGTCCGGCGAAAAATGGGGCTCTGTGAGCCGACCCCGACGGGATTTTTTCAGCACATGGCGCAAAGAAAGGATGTTCACGGCTGACCCTGAAAACAATGCTTTGGAACCTGTTGCTTCTGAACCATTCCACAAGGCAGAACATTGTTTGTTTCTTTTAATCCCAATGTCTACCCCTATTAATTACCCCCTCCCCTGCCCCCGCGAAGGAAAGTGTGATCCCAGATCTGAAGGCTGCCAGGGTTATTACCGGGGGGGTTGTGCTATTATGTCGGGGACTGGCCTTGAAGACCAGGTACCCTTTCTGAGCTTGTCAAGGCATGATTGTGAACCAAGGAGTAAAAAAACAAATGCTTTTTGGGTCTGTCTGGTTTCGTGGACCCCTAAAAATGGTTGGTTTTCTTTTGGCTCCCTAAATTGCACGTTGGCTGCTTTTTGTCGGCGTTGGGAAAGGTGGCTAGACGTTTTGGCAATAGTCTCTGTAATTTCAACTTGCGTTGTTGTTCTCCTTTTTCCGGATTTTCAGGGGCGCTTTGGGCGCTAGGTCAAACCTTGTTGGCCCCTTTAAAGTGGTACTAACTGGCAATCCAGGGGGGGTGGCGGGGGACAGTCTTTATTGGGGGGGGCTATTGATCAGGGTTCAACTCTTTGCCCCGAGATCCTGGAGAATCCAACCTATTGCTTTCAATCAGATTCAAGCTCAAAGGGCCCTTTTTTCGATCCCCAACGATCCTCTCCCTGCTCATGCACCCATTCAAACCATCCATGCAAGAAATACAAACCTCATAGGCTGTTGGAATACTTTGTGAGCCACTGGAATGGCACTCGTAATGCTAAATTGCAAGCTTGGATCTAGGTTCGGGTGTCCAGCACAAACCCCAGCAACGCCCGCACTGAATCGGCTTTCACAGAGCCAACCCAACATGGCACTGTGCCGACTGAGGGCTTTTTCCCGGGCGTTCCTTTGGCGCTTTCAGTGCCAGCACCCCAATCAGTTGGGATGCCAGCAAAAAATGAATTCAAAGATACAGCCGGGTATGTTCAGGGCTCCAGCTCTTTCAAATCTGGCCAAATGCAGGGATGCGGTGACCCCACCTCACACGATTCTTTGAACATGCGCAACTAGAAACATCGAGAAATTGCCAAACAAAAGCTTCTGCTCGCTTTATCAGAAACTAAACAAGCCTCTATGATTAAGCCTGAACCGGTTCTTGGCTCCCGGGTCATTTGAACGTCTAGCCCTGACGCGGGAGCGCCCAACGACAATGCTAAGCAGGCATACGCCATCCAACAAATCGCATCATCACGCTGCTTCGACAGCTTGTCAGGATTGTTGAAGCGAGTGAACTTGACGCGGAAGACTCAGGCCATGCCACCATCAGATTCTTCAGGCCTGACAAAGCGCTTGCCACGGATCTAGAACCGAAACAAACAAAACTCCGCATATCTGTAAGCAGGCACGTGGCAGAAACATTCCCCCCCACACGCATGGGGTCGCCGCTATTCATCGTTTGGGGACCGTAGGACCGTAGAACATCAGGCCGGGTCAATGCAGCCAAGTTTATGGTTTGGTTTTTCAGATTTTGGCGCAAAACAGCGCGTGTCCCTGGCAGAAGGCCCCCAATTCTGAATGGGGCACTGTGGCGCCCCACACTGTGGGGCTGAGGATGGAGTTTGACAGGTCGTATCCTGTCATGTCGTGCAGGGCATGCCTCAGAAGCGTGTCTTCAAAAGGGGCAAACATGCGACTTTTCCACTAGGCAATCTACAGTACATCGGGGGATGTGTTTTTGTTCTTCTTAGCTTTTCTTAGGTTGTTTGTGTTTTCTTTGTCGGGCTTTTCCAGATGCTGTTCACAGCTTTTGCCAAGATTTCCTGTTTTGTCTATTGGGCTGTTCGAAGACGCGCTGTTTGAAGGGATGTATAATGCAACCCCATGGATCAACCAAGCCCTCTCATACGATTGAAAATTGAAAAGAAGCCTTTCGCGTGTTTTCATATATGCATGTTATAATATATATATATATATACATATATATATATACTATACATTTGCATATACGTATGCTCCATTCTCTCCTTCTCTCTGTTTCTTAAGTTGGCTTTCATAGCCACAGGCAAATCCCGCCTGGCCCTGGCAACTTGCTTCGTCTCCGGCAACGACCTCAGCCCACTGGGCACCCGATTGCTCGACTCCCCAGGCACCAGGTCGCCTTCAGGCTTCCCACAAATTGGTGGTTTGGAGCCCGGTGTTTTGGTGGTGAAACGGGGGGTTTCCCATTTACCCTCCACAAGGTTCAAATCCCCAAACCGCCAATCCACCAACTAAGGGCTTCTTGAATACTTAGTACTTAGAAACACATGGTCTATTGCTTTTCCCAGAGCGATCCTTAACTTAGCTGCCTTAGCTGATTTTGGACTTCCTCGTCTACCCTTCGTTGGATGTCACCAATATTGAAGTTCAAGCACTATTCCACTTGTACGAGGAGGCAAAATAAAAACAGACTCTTGTCCGTACTTCAGAATTGCGCTTGCTACAGCGTCTTGATGCTTCATTCAAGAAAACTTCAATGTGCCGGAAAGCTGCGAGAATCCTCAAGATTGAGCCCGGGGTCGTGATATGATAACATGAAACACGCTGTGCCGATACGTGTCAACTGATGGACTCCATGTTCTTTAAGCGTTGCTTGTGCTAGAGTCTGTCGACTTTCTGCATGGATCCGTCGTCTTCAGGCTCTTGGCGATCACAAATAGCTCTAAGCAAATGGCGATTTGTGTGAGTCTCCATTGCTTCCGCAGTGCAGTCTTGCGTCAAAGGTGGCATACCGGAAAACTCAGTAGCCAACCAAAGAGCAATATGGGCTGGCAGGAGGGAGATTCCTTGTCAAGACGGGCACATGCAAGCAAGTCGCGATCGGACTCATGCTGAAACACAATCAAAAGTGGAACCCTGTTTTGTATTTCCTGGTCATGGACCCTTCGTGTATTCAAATTAGCTTCACATGCGGATTGTGTGCATGATGCAATGATTGCCTAGTTGCATTCTGCCAGATATGATTGACACATATGAAAGATGCGAGCCAGGGTCATTTATTCATTGTGTCCCCTTTCAATATTCGAATTTGGTAAGTAACTCCCATTTCCTAGTGGCAATTTGGTGAGTGTACCCAATCTTTTTCCCCGACCATTCTATTTTTGTCCAGGGGAACCTCAAATTGGGTAGTTGTCCTTTGCCTTTAAAACGATGTCCCTCCTGAGCGTCCCAAAACAAGCCCCCGACCAGGTCTGCTCTTCCGCGGAAGAGGCCGAGTCTTCGGCTGACTGCCTCAGCAGTCGCGCGACTGAGGCGCGGCTCAGGCGCGTGGAAGGAACTTCAATTGGCTTGTCATCAGAACATCGATACCTCAGTCCTTAAACTGCCTGGTCACTAGGCTGGGGATTCTCTCCCGTCGAAACTATGAATCTATTGGGATATTCTCACCCTGACTCCGTGTTGGACTTCTGCCTGGGTCCCGGTATGAGGAGCTATACACTCAACAGCGCCAGTCTGCAGGATGTTACGTTGTAGGACAAAGCTCTTTCAAGGCCCAGCGAATACATAATCGTTCCCAACTTGGCATGCTGCACTCACATGCGGTCACTTGACTGAAATGAGAAAAACACATGGACCTACATAAGCTGCGGCAACTATTTTCTCTTTGTTAAATGGTCGGGTGTTCCCACCAACCCTGCAACCGTTTGGAATCACTGACCTTGTTGTCCAACGCCGCACGTGTTTGTGATCTCAACCACCTGTAATTATATCATTGCCCTACCTCGTTTTGGGGGTGCTCCCTAAAACATTCGAGAAATCAGCAGTCGCTTGCCGGAGATCCGTTTTGAACCGCAAACTCTCTCAAAGCCATGTGTCTGCTGCCCGGAATCCTCAGCATACAATTCTATGGGTACCTTCCCCATTCTTTCAAGGGATCCTTCTTTTCAGGAAACCATCAAAATTCCAGGGGAAACAGCCGGTTATTGAAAAGAACGATGGTTGAAAAGAATGGGGAATCAACCCCTAGAACAATGGGCACCTACCTGCAAGGAAAAAGCTTGGGCGTTTCATTTGGAAAGTTCCCCAAGAAAGTGGCTTTTGCCGAACTGGTCTTGTAGCTTTTGCTGGGTCGGTAGCTCTTGGAATAATGCCTAGCAAGGCGTGAAAATAATAACGACACTGAAACATCTCCAACCTTCAGGCAAACATGTTCGCCTGGCCATCCAATTCTCTCTTCAGTATGAACAAAAATATCCCCTTCTTGTATCCTACCATGATCCAACCAGCATAGTGTGCGTGTGTGTGTGTGTGCGTGTGTGCCCAAAGGCTTTCTGCCTGACGGATCACAAACAT